TCGGACATATTGTTGGAAACTAGACCTAGCCCCCAAACTGTCATCTTTAGGGAACATTCACTGTTAACTCTGGGCCCACTGGTCTGCCCTTTGCAAAGCTCTGCAGTCATAGATTCACAACTCACTGTCTTACATATTTTCTTTTGGCACTGCTGGGCTAGAAGTGAGGGCCTTGTGCATGCAAGGCAGCACTGTGCCACGAGCTACAACCCCAGCCTTTTGGTCAATTTTTAAAATGTTAACACATTACATGTTTTCTCTTAATGAAGGTAAGGAAACAATGTCAAAATGAAATAAATGTTGGTAAAATTAGGAAGAGAGAATTCTAATGAATGGGAGCTGTATGCAGAATGCCAGAAAAACTTGCCAAATGACAAACCAAGAACTAAAAGTGTTAAAGACACAGATAGCTCAACAGTCTAAGGCTAAAAACCCAAGGCTTCAAATGATGATTATAACATTGAATAATGGATTTGAAAATACTTCTCATGACTGGGAGGATTTTATAAGAAATTCATTAACTTTTTCATATCTCCACTACAAGCATCAGAATTCTTGGAAATATTTCCAAGCACAACTTACTATATAGATATAGATAATAATATTGTAACAACTATAACTTTGCCAAATAAATATAAAATGTGAGCCAGCTACCATTATAATACTCACTTAATAGAATGAATAACATATGACATAAATATTATATGAGAGTTAAGGAATTTGGCCAGAAATATACGCTACAATTTCATCTTTCAGACTGTCTTTAATTCTTTCTGTCCTTATCTATCTATTCACATACACATTACCCTGTTCCAGAAAATATTCAACATGATTATCTAAAAATACATAAAAACACAAAATAAATCAAACAGCAAATAGATGCCAACTTTTTAAAGTATATGTATATGGACATATGTATTTTATAAGAAGAAATCAGAGTAGCATACACAAATATTTAACTAGTGGTATGAATACAGATAAATTTTTTGTTTTCCTATTTTAAATTTATAAGTTTCCCCCCACAGTTTTTGTAGTTTTAGAATTATATTATCTTAGTACCAAGAGCTTTAAGCAGGGGAGAAGTACTTGGAAAAGAGAAAACTGAAAAAGAAAGACGAACAGTATTAGATTCATGAATGCACAAAATAAAATCCATAAAGTAGAGGGGTGTCCCAACCCTAGCTTTAAACTGTACCATAGCTCTACAAAAAAATCACCTCCAGTTTCTAGAGCCAGTTAGTAGAGTTGAGCTGGATAGGTTGAACCAGGAGCCATATCTTTACTTCACATCAGTATTTCCCCAGGAATCTAGGAATTCTGAATGATGTTAGTGTCCAAGAAGAACAAAAAGGGGTGGAATGGGTGGATATCTTCTCTATTGGGTTGATGTCTTCTCTAAGTTGGGAGAATGATTCTCTATGATTGGTTTGGGGCTTTACAATACATATCAACTTAATGAGGATTTGAGAAATAATGAAATAAAGAAACATGAGTAAATTGGTTTAACTGAGTATTTCTCAAACATATCTGTACACACTAAACACTACTGCTTAACCCTTTTTTCTCCTGCTAAATACTGTTGGGGATGCCCTTTGTCACAATGTATATATCTAATGGTATATATACTACCATTTACCATCAGTGGAGATATCATTGTAGCAAAACAGAAAGCCAAAGCATTACTACTGATACTTGGTCAACAGAGGAATCTACCATTGTGTTTCATAAAGGAAGCTAAGTAGACTTGAAGTTACAGAGATCATTTAATTGAACGTGTTCTATTATTTGGTTTTGAAGCTCAAACCGGGATGCTGCTATCTCTAGGCATGCCTGAAAGATCAACTAGAAAAAGACTGAGCACTGCATTCCGGCCTTGCTTCCCATGTGCTAGCCTATGCTCAGTGGGCCCAATAGCATCTCTGAAAGGCTAGGTACCCAGGTTCAGGGCTCTCAACAGTAAATCAAAATAGCAAAACTCAAGACTACTTAACTTCACCCTTGGCATCACCCCAGATTCTCTCTTCTAAAGAAGAGAACTGGGTTGTGGGAGCTCAAGCTTGTGGCAGGCAGCCCTAGCAGAGCCAGCAGACAGACCCACTCGGGGATGTTTCTCATCCATTGCTTCCATTTGGACAGCATTTACTCAAAAACCAGGGTTGGCAGCAAGTGGAAGGAAGAGGAAGAAGTTAGTAAGAATGAAATCAAATTTAATCTTAGATCCAGGCTGAGAAGAATCTAGTTTACTTGCACCATCAGAATAAATCTTAACATTGTAGGAAAAACATTTTAAATCACACTCACCATCCTTTCAATTTTTCAATATTTATATCTTAAGTAATATTCAGGCTGCACAGATGTATGTGGGTGAAAAAATATTTGTTTGTGGACATGTCATAACTCATAACTAAGGAATGTCAGGTTTTCTATTTTTATATGGAATCAGCCAAAATGATTTTTGGAACTCCAATAGTTACAGTGGAAAATAATGTTATAGGAAATATTTCACTGCCAGTAAGCAGAGGGAAAAGCTGTGATGAGAACATAAGCAGAGGTTGATTTATTTTCATCTATTCCTCTAATCAAATGTTTCCTAAAGAAGCTGCAGTTTCCATTCTCAAAAGGAGCACTCCATTACCAATGTCAACAGAAGGAACAGAAGAGACGGCATACAAAGAAGAGACACCATACCAAAATGACAAACACACTCCATTTAGTGTACCCCGACAAGTCTCATGCATTCACTTGCTCTATTTCAAAATCCATGAGTTTAAACAAAACACACTTGTAAAAATTGTTGTTAAAGTACAAAGTCAAAGTGCAATAATTCTCTTAAATTATGATCCTAATTGATTTTTTTAAATGGACTAGTCACTTGTTCCTTGACCCTAAAAGATTTTTACTCTAAGCCCCCTGTACACTGTAAATTCATTATGACCAACCTAGTTCCCAGAAGTATTGCATCATTAGAGGTACAGAGATGGAGATTAAAAGCAAAACTGAGAAGTGAATGGTGCCTTAGGCAAATTAATAATACAAGTGAAACCATTATGTAAAAATCATTGTTTGGCTGGAAATATCTGACGATGCATTATAAAAGCATTTTGGGAAATGTTGATAGAATTGTGCATTGAAACCATAAGTCACCTTAAACTGCAAAGCAGGAATATTTAGATATGAAAAATGGTACAGGATTAATGAACCTATCCCCTTTGGCAGGTTTTAAGAGATGGAAAAAGTAGAATGGTTCTTTCTATTGCTCTGATTGCTCTAACTAAATGCCATGCTTGCCTGTGGCTGAATCTGAGCACATACGTTTACCTGGTATGTTCTCTTTTTAGGCACAGGAAACTCTTTAGGAGAAAAGTTTATCTTCTGAGCAATTAAATGTCATACTGTACATGCAAAGCAATGCTATCCACTATCCTAAAAATTGTGAGCTTACTAATAAGTTTGGAAATCTCAAAATTCATGAGAACTGATGGAAGTCCTGATAAATAAGGCAACATGATTTTTAAAACTTGGGCTGGGGTTGTAGCTCAGTGGTAGAGTGCTCGCCTAGCAAGCGTGAGGAGCTAGGTTTGATCCTCAACAACACATAAAAAATAAAATAAAGATATTGTGCCCACCTAAAAATCTAAAAATAAATATTTAAAATAAAAAAACCCTAAAATTGGGGACTGAGATGTATAACTCAGCAAGAATACTTGTATAGCACACAGGAATCCTTGCATTTCATTCTCAGCACTGCCAAAACCAAAAATAACTAAAAATAAAATTGTGGAATGAACCAGCAGAACAAACCCAGACTTACATCATAAAACTCCATGTTTTTCCTATGTATGTATTTTGAAAAGTTACAGAGAATCAGAGTCATCATTCCACTCAGACAACAATGAAACAAAAACACACATGCACAAAAAAATGGGAACCAAAAAGCCTTAAGTGTGTTGAAAAGATGGATAAAAATATCCAAACACTAATCTCCTTTAAAGAAAACCATCCTGGGATAACATTTTGAGTTTGTTTCATTCATTGCTATAAGACTAAAAGCACCCTACCTCTAGAATTGTGAGAAAACATTGAATTTGACCTCAAGATTGTGGGTTTAAAATCCTAGTTCCGGACAAGATTTAGCTTTATAAAGTTGATCAAGGTACCAGAAACTCACTTAAACCCCAGATTATTCAAAGTAAAATAGACATAGTGTCCCTTGCTTTGGCCACTATGAACATCAATCAAATACAATAGTACAAAGAGGAGTTCACTGTGAGCCTTGTAAACTCCAAAAACAAAAATGTAACATTGCTTTCTCATTCCCTGGAATTTTAATAAGGAAATCCTTATCAGTTTATAAAAGTAGTTTTCAAGTGGCTGTTTAAAGTAACTCTTAATTCATTTTACTGGTCTTTGGGTTCTCAACATGGAATGATCTAACAATAAACAACCATCTTTCTGGAAGATGGAAGAAAACATAAGTGGAAAAACAGCACAAAATATGAAGATAGTGAAATAGAAGAATTAGGAAACAAATGTCACATTGGAAAGAAAAAAATGTGAAAAACTAACAGCTCTGAATTCTTATTATGAATTAAGAGATTCAAAAGGAGATATAAAAATTCAAATTATTTTCAAATGAGTATTTCTTAAGTATTACTTTCATATAATGCATTCTCACAATTCGTTGAGGCAGGATTTTAAACATTTTTTTGTATATTTAAAGCAATGATAAATTCAGTATTAATGTATTCTCCTACCTCCCAGGTAAAAGTTCTGAACTAAAACCACTGACATCCACTTTGGCTCAAATAAGGTTTTCTTTCTCTCTCTTTAAAAAACAACAACAAAACCTTCATTACAATACAGTCACCTCATAACCATCAGTATTTAGATTGACACAGAAAATAAAATTAAATGCAAAATATTAACATTATAAAAAGAAAGCAGAAAGAAAGAAACAGAACCTCTTTCTAATGACGTTAAACAAAATAACTAAAGTCTACCTCTCCTGTTCCTGCTTCATTCGTATTCTCTCCTCTTCTGACGTAAAGGAGTCCTGTATTTTTATTTTACCCGTTTTCTCAATCTTGTCATCTTTCCGATGTTTGCCAAACCTGTTGGTAACAAAAAATTCTAACTTGTCAATATATACAAAATGAGTTTTCTTTCCCTTGTAAATAAAGACACATATTTAGAGAAATAGCCCCTTCTTCAAAATGACGGCCCCAAATGTCTTTTGCCATCAGTATTAATAATTTTCAATCAGGATATCTTATTCTTTTTCAGTTAGAACATTCCAGAGAAAGCTCTTTTGGAAAATGGCCTCAGTATCCTTATTGTTTTTGGCAAAACAAAACCAAAAATGAGCAATAAGACGTGCAGTTTTGCCTCACACAACAAACAATAACCCTAGAGGACCGAGTGCTTGAGTACCTCAGATGGCAGAAGAGAAAAAGATCTGCACTGGAATTCTATCCTCTGTCCTAAAAATTGTGAGCTTATTAATTTCTCTCAGGAATAAAGAATGATAATCCACAATCATCTATTTAATAATCTTTCCATAAACAACTATTCCTCTTTATTTTCTCAGCCTGGTTTATTGGAAACATTCATCACAGTTTAAAAACTGACAAACAAGGCCATGTTTGCAAGGTTTAAAGCAGAAAGGATAATTTACACTGCTATAATACTTTGAGCTTATTAAATTGAAAGCTTTCAGGCATTCTCATCAAATGCTCTCCTAAGTCTGATGAAAAGCGATTGCTGAATGTGGCATCTTTGACTTGGAAATCTAGATTTGATCAAAAACAAATATAAAGAACAAACACATGATTGAAAAATGGCTCACAAGGTGCTACGGATGGATGCTGACCTCAAGACTCCTTAAGCAAACACTAACATTATTCTATTCTGGCATGCAAAGTTCCCAGAAACGTGAAGCTTGATATCAATTCTTTTTCCTGCTGTCATTTTTCCCTATAAGAGACCATGCAGCCTGTGACGCACGTTCTCTATGTCCTAAAAGTCCTAGTCATGTGTAGAGAGCTACAGGCCACCTGATATTTCAAACCAGAAATCTTTTAGAATTATGCAACTAAGCATTTATAAATAAAATATATTGCATATTTCTATCTAAGGAGGAACTAGGAATCTAACTTAATGGGGACAATAAAATATCATAAAAGAGAAGAAGAAAGGGATGTACCAAAAGTTGAGATAAAGAAGAAAAAAAAAATATTTCAATTAACAACTTGGTTAATGGTATAGATCATTTTCTTATCAATATCAATCTGAGTTTAAATACTTCATTACACATGAAGTATCCATGAGAGTAACTTACATGGTAATTAAGTCTCCACTGTGTTTGCAAAGAGGTTTATAAACAAGGAAGGAAACACTCTTAAAATGCTAAAATTTAAAAAAAAGTTAAAATACACCCACTACTATTCCTTTTAAGTTGAACACTATACTATTAAAAAAACAAACAAACAGGCATCCAATTAACTCTATAAAGCAAACCTATCCTTAACATTTAATTTTGTTTGGAAACTAGAAAATCATTAATTACAAAAAAGAAAAGAAGAAAGAAAAAAAATCCCCAAGAACTTAAATCTAGAATGTAACCACTACCCACAAGGGATAAAATATATGCTGTGCTTTTAAAGCTAATTAATACACAGCATTAAAAAATAAAAGGCTTTGTTTTTTTATCCATATATCAATAATGTCTCAGATTTAAGCAAAATGATGGGCTTTATGACATGAATGAGTAACATTCATTCATTCATTCATGAATAATTGAGGAATAATGAGCAAACAAACATAAAAAAACCTACACATCTCAGTAGAAGCCAATAACTAAAACACAATTTTCATTCATTTGACAAAAATTTATTGAGCATCTACTATGTTGTAAGGACTAATATTTAAGGCACTTATGCTATAAGCAGTAACAAAATACATTAAGTCCTAGCAACTGTGATAAAGCTTATATTGCAGTTTACCTTAGGTAACAAATTAGGATGTAATAGATGAGGGAGTATGTGGGTACACAGTACTGTGGAGGAAAGCAAATCACAGTGCGTAGGCTAATTCATTTCAGATAGAGTGTTCAAAAATGACCTTTCTGACAAGATAATATTTCAGCAAAGATCTGAGTGAAGTAAGGGAACCAGCCATATTGGGAGAGAGAAGACAGCAAGAGACCAAATGCAAAGGCTTCAAATCACATGAGTTTCTTTGAGGAACTACAAATAAAGAACATATAACAAATGGGATGGAGTCAAATTAAAAAGTTTTTTTTCAGCAAAAGAAATAATCTGAGGTGAACAAGGAGCCTACATCCTGGGAGCAAATTTTTATCCCTCATACATCAGATAGAGCACTAATCTGCAGAGTATATAAAGAACTCAACAAGCTAAGCACCAGGAGAAAAAAAAAAAAACCTACAAATAATTTAATCAATAAATGGGCCAAGGACCTGAACAGACGCTTCTCAGAAGAGGATACACAATCAATCAACAAATATATGAAAAAATGCTCAACATCTCTAAATCAGAGAAATGCAAATCAAAACTACTCTAAGATACCATCTCACTCCAGTAAGAATGGCAGCTGTTATGCATACAAACAACAAGTGTTGGAGAGGATGTGGGGGAAAAGGCACACTCATACACTGCTGGTGGGACTGCAAATC